ACACATACACATTTATATTCTATATTCACTGTATTGGAGTCCTGTTAATTTCAAAATTTATTGTGTTTTTATAAGTTGCATTATTTATGGTTCTATTTTCATTACTACTTTTAATTCTTTCATGACTCATGAACATTTTTATTGCTTGGGGGTATGATAAAGCATACAACAAAAATGCAGACTTAGTAAATGCAAACAGCACTCAGAAGACATAAAAATACATTAGCTGAGATGAACTGAATGTGGTAATGAATGTGAATGATACATGTCATTTTTGTAGAACTCTGACAACCTTTGGAATAATTATGTTCAATAAGACTACTGTAAGATTTCTGGGAAAATAATCTTGCCTTCCAAATTACTGAAAGATATGTAGTCTACACTTTGAAAATCTAACAGGTTAGAGGACCACTATGCACTACTGCTATTAAGTGTAATCAGTTGGCTATAAGTATTAGATATCTTCAGAATGAGGATCTTTTTTGTTTTATAATAACTATATTTCCGTGTTGCCTATGATAATTGAAGACTGTTCATTTGGAATTTATTTTGTTTGGATTTAAATGGGTAAAATTGTAATGGTACTTAGACTTACAAATTAATTTTTAAAAAATGTTAGCACCAAAATATTTACTGTCCTTTAGGTTTTTCATTGGTTCTTCATACTCTTTAACTGATTGAGCTATAGGTTTGCTTAAATAGAAAAAAAAAATATTTTACTACTAGATGGGGAGTAGGAAGCAATGAGGAAGTCAAGAGGAAGGGGATCTGAAGTACTCCATCTTGGGCACATGTAAGTATCTTCTTGAATTCTGTAGGCATTTTAGGCCTACTGTTTCCTCTTTTTCTTCCTTTCCTCCTCCTCCCATAAATAAAAAGAAAATAATAAGGAACTTACCATTTGCAAACTTAAACAAGGTACTTTTTAAAAAGTATGCTTTTATTTGCATTTTATTGCCTGGAGCCTGTCTTATAGGCCCAGTCTCTGTCTCTGTCTCCCTCTCTCTTTTACTTGTACATTTACTGATTAAGTAGATTGTCAGCTATATTTATAGCAGTCTTTGACAGAGAATAAAGATATGTTTAGAGAATTTCGAATCATGTTTTCTTTCTCTTTTCTGATATGTGTTGGTCTTGTGCTACCATTCTCCCTCTTATCTAAGGTCAAAAACCTTATCTTTGATTCTTTCACACTTTATATTGTCATTGTTCCAAAACTTGATCAGTCTCTTCTTTATTTTCTGCACTGCTACATTTTGGTCCAGGTGCCCATATACTGTCTGAGATTACAATGGCTTAGTCAGACACATTGATTCTAGGTTCTTGCTCTTCTAATATTCCAGTTTATGTCTTAAAAATTACTTTTGTTTAATGTTAGCATTCCTCTTTTATCTGCCCTATATCCTTAAATTTTAGGAAGTGTCTGGAACCTAATGCTGCCCTAACTAAGCAATCTTATTTTCTACTATTCTGCAACATGGGAGGGTAATTCTAATTCATTTGGTACTGCTCTTACGCCAGAAACTGTGCTAGGTACTTCATACGTATTACAAGTTTAAATCCTCAAAACTACCTTGTACAGTTGATATTCCAATGTTCTTTTTAAATATTCTGAGATTCACAGAAGTTAATATAACTTGTTCAAAGTCACAATTAGCATGGGTGGAATAGGAATTTAAATTATCCATTTCTGTGATCTCCCAAAGCCTGTGTTTTTTCCACGTCTTTTTCTTGTAATGTTTAAAATTCACTTTTTGTCAGAATGACTTTCCTTAGTATCGCATAGTATATCTATTCTTAATATTGTAACATTAACATAATGTGGCTCTTTGTGCAGTTCTGTTTCTGCCTATCCAAATTGTATCTACATTTAAATACCAACGTAAAATTACGTTTGTTGTCGATCTTCTTTTTCTCAACTTCTGTAGCTCTTTTAATGTCTTATTCTATTTCCTGTAGCTCATACACATTAATCTTACATCCTCAACTGGGTAGGAATTCTTCAAGGGCAAAGACCAAATTTAAGCTGCTTCTTTAAATTAAGCCCCATAGGCAGGGAGGGCACAGCCCCTAGAAAACTCTAAATGAATCCTTAGTGGCTGATTGATCATACAGTGAAATTTTTGGAAGATTTGTTCTAGTTTTCAAAAATTTAAATTTAAATCATTTTTGTCTACCTGCATTTTCTCGTATACTAGTTTATGTTAACAATTACAAGGTAAATTTAAAGTCCGAACTACTATTAGAATCAGTTGCTGGGAGGGCCATATTTTTTTACTTTAAAATTTCGATGTCGTTCAGTTTTTATCAAGCTATTAGAATGAGCTGCCTTAATATTTAAATTCTGTGAGTTAATATGAAAAATAAAAATGACGTCTAACAAGACTTCCACTTCCTAACCTGTTCTGCCCACTACCTTATTTCTGGAATATTGTCAGACTATGTGACATATTAAAAATAATCTCAAATGCCCTTTCTATAATAATTAAATGCCATCAGTAGGGATTAAAAGTTTAGTGGCAAATTGAACCAACTTTGTTCAGAATAAACAAGTAGTTTTGTTACTTTTTCTTTTTTTGAGATAGAGTCCCACTCTGCCACCCAGTCTGGAGTGCAGTGGTGCGATCTCAGCTCACTGCAACCTCCACCTCTGGGTTCAAGCGATTCTCCTGCCTCAGCCTCCTGAGTAGCTGGAACTAAGGCATGCACCCCCATGCCAGGCTGATTTTTTTTTTTTTTTTTTTTTTTAGTAGAGACAGAGTTTCACCCTGTTGGCCAAGCTGTCTCAAACTCCTGACCTCAGGTGATCCCCCCACCTCGACTTCCTAAAGTACTGGGATTACAGGCATGAGCCACTGTGCCGGCCTAGTTTTGTTACTTTTTCTGTTAGGATGATTACTGTCCTTTAACTGTAGTGAAACATTTTGTATCAGTTTGCCATGAGGTTAGGTGGAGAAATTGATGTAAATTTCCTTTTATCTTATAACCATTGAATACCCATATACATAAGTGTATATAATAAGCCTAAAAGATTAATTTATTACTTTTCCTTGCTAATTTCTAGTTTAGATTAATTTTTCACTTCTTTTAAGTTATTCCATAAAGTATGTATAATTTACACTGGGCTTAATCTGATTTTCTAGTCCTATATATCCTTCCTTACCATTTTAATTCTAATTGTATTTTTCTGAGTTAGATTGTTTTTCAGTGTAAGCTTAATCATTTTTCCTCTCTTTTTATTGTATCAGCATAGGATTAGATGAGATGCTTTCAAAGGGATGACTTTGTTTAGAAATGTTTAGTTCATAGTGTCCAGTATTAATATTTTTCTAGTTTTTAAGGTGTCTCTTTGAAACAGATCACTTCTTTTTGGAGTTGGTTTCTATTTTAGTTTAGATTTTTAAAAATTATTAAGCAACAGAAATAATTATGATTAACTTAGGTAAAAAAAAAACTTTTTTGAAGGATACTGAGTGATTCTCAGATTTGAATTAAAAACTAAATAATTAGGTCTTGGGAAAGCTGGAAACCAAGGAATTTGGGAGTGCTCAGAGGCATGAGCTAGTAGATGTCATTTTTTGACGGTTATCATCAGATAATTAAACTCCACCTGGTTTTTCTTTGTTCTCAAAATTCCTGGGAGAAAAAAAAGGAATTGGATCACTTGCCCCCACCTTTTGTCGTTGGCGATGATAGCTTGGGTGTTTGTGTGGTATGGCAGTGCTTAGTGTACAGAATTATGTGACTGGCTGTCCTGCTGAGACCGTGGGACTTTGGAATGAATTGCAGTTATTTAAAGGAATGGAGGAAGGGATTCTGGACTGATTAAAAAAAAAAAGAGATGCCCACTAAATTTATGCTTTTGTTACCCTGTACACATGGACACATACATGTATACAAATCCAGGATGTTTACACATGTCATGTTGCAACTGTCTTATATACAGCTGCAAACACACTCATCTATGCCCAGCAGTGGACAACCCAAAGTTCCATCCAACTACTGCAGCATTCTGTTTGGCAATTAGGAAAAGTAAGTCCTGTAGAGATTAATTGGATCGGAGGATGGTGAAAGCTAGATTTTAAAAAGTTAGGTGAGCCGGGCACGGTGGCTCACACCTGTAATCCCAGCACTTCGGGAGGCTGAGGCGGGTGGATCACGAGGTCAGGAGATCGAGACCATCCTGGCTAACACGGTGAAACCCTAAAAATGCAAAAAAAAAATTAGCCAGGCGTGGTGGCGGGCGCCTGTAGTCCCAGCTACTCGGAAGGCTGAGGCAGGAGAATGGCATGAACCCGGGAGGCGGAGCTTGCAGTGAGACGAGATCGTGCCACAGCACTCCAGCCTGGGTGACTGAGCGAGACTCCGTCTCAGGAAAAAAAAAAAGTGAGATTGATTAGTGAAAAAGAGGAACAAATGTATATCGCAAAGAATCATTATTAGATGACTTAAAGCAACCGTATAGTTTATCATTTTGAGAGTAAAAAGATGCACTATGAACAATTATTCTGTAACACCTGGCATATACCAGGACATTTGGCAACCTTATTCTGTACCTGTGGTTTTTTCTATATCCAGGAAGTGGTATACTGTGTTCAATAATGCTTATTGAGTTTTTTTTTAGTATTCTTATATTTTTGAGTAATAATCACTCATAATTTTTGGTGTCCTAAACTGAATGTTGCCTTTGACATCTATTATAGTGCCAATAATTTGGTAAGATTTTTTTTATTAAGGTAAAAAGTAAGATTATATCATATACAACAGATAATTAACAATGAAGAGGAGAAATGAAAATCTCAAAATTGGAAGTTTGTATTTTGATGTCTTCTGTAGAGTATAGGCTTCCTAGTTTGGCATGGCTATATAACTTTGGAGAATCGATATTGTTTTTTAACATGTTTGCTTTCTTTTCATCTATATATAGTAATGTGTGTGGTTATTTTGCTCGTGTGATGTAATGATACTGTCTGTTTATTGTGAAACTTTTTTTTTTTTAGCTGACATCTGAAATGTTTGAAGCAGATCTTGAGAAGGCATTATTACTAAGTAAATTAGAATATGAAGAACACAAAAAGGTATTTACATACTTAATGATTTAGATATTTTAGAAGTTTAAGTGGTGAGGTTAAAATCAACCTATTTGAATTTTACATAAAATTTCTTCTATAAAGTTTATCCAAAAATTCATTACCGTAATAAAATATTACCAAGAAGTGTTTATAATAGGATTCCTTCTCAAGTTTTGAGATAGAACAGAAACAGTTGGACTAAAGCTTTGTCTGGTGACTTGGAACGTTTAGTTAAGGAATTTCCCCACCCAAGATGAAGGGAAGAGAGAGAATAAAATTCACAACAGATGATTTTAATTTATTTTTATTATTATTTTTTCTTGGGACCGAGTCTCAGTCTGTTGCCCAGGCTGGAGTGCAGTGGCATGATCTCACCTCACTGCAACCTCCACCTCCCAGGTTCAAGCAATTATCCCGCCTCAGCCTCCTGAGTAGCTGGGACTACAGGCGTGAGCCACCACACCCAGCTAAATTTTGTTTTTTAGTAGAGATGGGATTTCACCATGTTGGCCAGGCTGGTCTCGAACTCCTGAGCTCTGCTGATCCACCTGCCTTGGCCTCCCAGAGTGCTGGGAATACAGGCGTGAGCCACCGTGCCCGGCTGATTATTTTAATTTTAAATGAACATAGAAAATAAGTGGATTTAAAATTTTAATATGGGCTACTATAGTACACGGGCGTTTTTTAAGAGACCTCTGCCAGAGATGCACTACAATCAAATAAAGTAGGAGGCCATTTCTGAAATTTTGGCCTTGAAAGCTCAGCATTTGTCACTGAACTTTGATATTAGGTTGTGTGCTGAAATGCATTCTATAGCTTGTTATTGTAGGAGGATTTGAGTAAAAAGAAGTGTTGGTTTCCAGTTTCTGTATTTAAGTTGTGTGAGTATTCATTATATTAATATCATTTAACATTTTATTCTTTAACATTTATTGGGATTATTTTTTGGTTTATAAAATTTGTTCAAGCTGTGATTACTCAGTGGTTGATCTTAAATGGTCTCTGGTCATCCTTAAGACATTTTGGCCATGTCCTTGTATATTAGTGTCTTCATCCAAAATGAAAACAAGCAAATAATTATAATTCACAGCAGCTACTCAGGAGGCTGAGACAGGAGGATTGCTTGAGGCCAGGAGTTTGAGACTAGCTTGGGTTAACACAGCAAGACTCTGTCTCTAAATATATGGTTTTTTTTAATTAGCTAGGCATGGTGGTGTGAGCCTGTATTCCCAGCCACTTGGGAGGCTGAGGTGGAAGAACCCCTTGAGCCCAGGAGTTAGAGGATGCAGTGAGCTATGATCATCCCACTGTACTCCTCCTGCCTGGGCAACAAAGGGAGATCCCATCTTAACAAAAAAATTCACAGCATTGCTTTTGCTAGTTATTGAACTTAGTTCCAGGGAAAAGGAAAAAAGTTGCTAATAAAGTGGGCTATGTATATTATATGTGTTTCATTTCCATATCCCTCTTTCCGTTACCCCAAATGACGAAGAATGAACTATAACCATTATTGTTACATAGCCATTTAGACACAAAGCAGGAAAATTACAAAAATTGATACAGCTAGTTTTACTATGATTTAATCATTTAAATGGACTATCAGGTTACACTGGAGAAGTAATCCTGTTTTGCTCAATTAGGAGATAAAATTTATCAAATAGAATATTATACAAAGGTGACTTCTTGCTGTTAGATTTATGGATATATGTCTAGGTTCTAAAGCTAGAAGGATTACCTGTATCCTTAGAGGAGAAATAGAGTAAATAGTGTTGATAAAATGTCATACTCCCAGCCAGTGTTCTTTGCACAGTCATAGGTGTAATACTCAAAATCACTGATTTTAGCAGATAATAATGACTAAGAGAAGGGAGGAACTTCTTTTGTATGCAATGGGTAGTTCGATGGGATTGTATTGATGTGTAGTCATTGAGATAAAAGTCAATATTCAGTAAAACAACTCTTAATACAATTGTTTTAGCCTAAGGATTTTTATAACAGATAACTAAAGTTTAGGATGGCATTTTCTTTTCTTTTCTTTTCTTTTTTTTTCTTTTTTGAGACAGAGTTTCACTCTTGTTGCCCAGGCTGGAGTGCAATGGCGCAATCTCGGCTCACCACAACCTCCGCCTCCCGTGTTCAAGCAATTCTTCTGCCTCCGCCTCCTGAGTAGCTGGGATTACAGGCATGCGCCATCACCCTGGCTAACTTTGTATTTTTAGTAGAGACGGGGTTTCTCCATGTTGGTCAGGCTGGTCTTGAACTCCTGACCTCAGGTGATCTGCCCACCTCTGCCTCCCAAAGTGCTCGGATTACAGGAGTGAGCCACCATGCCTGACTGAGATGGCATTTTCTGTTCTGTTCTGTCAGTTATTCACCAAATAATTATTGAATAGCCAAAATGTGCCCCTTGAGTGTAGTGGAGGGAGACATAGTGTATAGTATTGAAAGATGTATGTTCTCAGTGCAGTGGAAATTCAGAAAACTAGAAGGTTTTTCAGTGCCTTTAATGGGGATGGGTTTTAGGAAAAGATTCTTTAAAAAGAGTCTTATTGGATGTATTAGAAGTTCATGAGGTAGACAAGAGGAAAGTAGGCATTCTGAAGGAAGGAGTGGCAAGTATTTAAGAAGTATACATGTGAAAGAATATAGCATATTTGAAAAACTGTCATGTAAGGACCTAGAACTTCTGGAGATACAGCCAGAAGGATAGGACATAAATTACTTCATGTACTAGGCAAGGAGATTGGGTTTTATACATCCATTGGCAGAAAGCTGTTTAATCGTTTTTTTTTTGAGATGGAGTCTCACTCTGTTGCCCAGGCTGGAGTGCAGTGGTGTGATCTTGGCTCACTGCAAGCTCCGCCTCCCGGGTTCACGCCATTTTCCTGCCTCAGCTTCCTGAGTAGCTGGGACTACAGGCGCCTGCCATCGCGCCTGGCTAATTTTTTGTATTTTTGGTAGAGATGGGGTTTCACTGTGTTAGCCAGGATGGTCTCGATCTCCTGACCTTGTGACCCACCCACTTCGGCCTCCCAAAGTGCTGGGGTTACAGGCGTGAGCCACCATGCCCGGCCCTAATCATTTTAACTTTTAGATTGATTTTGGGTTTTCATTTTAGAAACTCATGTGTAGCAGTGTAGAAGATGGATTGAGGAGCTAAAATTAGAGACTGTTGCAGTATCCAAGCAAAAGGGAGTTGGGGAAATGACTGAATGTACAAAGAACAGAGAATGAATTTAAGAGATCTTCAGGAGATAAGTTAAACAAGACCTAGTAATTAATTGGCTGTAAGGTGTGTAGGAGAGTAGGCAAGGATACTCTGAGGTTTCCAACTTAGACAGATGTGCAGATGGTGGCGGCATAACAAGGTACTTCATAAAGGATCGAGTGGGGAAGGCAGGGTGGTGAGATGGAAAGATAGAATATATTTCATGTGGAGATGCTTATTGAACATTCCAGTTCAGTTGTCTGTCTATAGAGAAGTAATTAGTTTATTGGTAGAACTTTAAACTTTGAGATTGAAGAGCAGTGGGTATAAAGGTTAAATAGGTTAGGAGTGGGATAATGTGAACACCTGCTACGCTTTTGAGACGGTTGAGAAAAGAAGCCAGCAAAGGAAGCTTAGCAGTAGTCAGAAATGTATTAAGAAAACCAAGAGATGCTTGAAAAAAAAAATGTGTTTTGGATTTGGCGATAAAGAGGAGGTTGACTTTAATTTTAGTGTCAGAGACCAGTAGAAGCCAGATTTCAATGGGATGAGGCAGGAAATTGCTGATTATTGTCTTAAATTTGGTCTTGAAAGGAGGAAGGTAGCAACGAGGAGGGGGTTATAGACCAAGGTGTAACTTTTTTTGTTTCCATTTTAATGTTTAAGATGTAAGGGATTGAGTAAATGAATAAAGAGGTATCCCTTTATACAATTTGGCTGGCCTAAATTTTGGTTTTTTATTTGCCTATTATTTTTTAAAAAAATAAACTTTAAGAAACATATTACCTATTGGTGAGTTTATTTTACAGTTTGTAAACTGAACTTAATTATTGTTGGTAATTCTTTTTAGGAGTATGAAAATGCTGAAACTACTTCAACTCAGTCCAAAGTTATGAATAAAAAAGATAAAAGAAAGAATCATCAGGGAAAAGACAAACCTCTCACAGTATCACTAAAAGATTTTCATTCGGAAGGTAATATATATACAATGCTATTATGCTAAAAGAACTATTCTACATCTATTTTATATTTCAGTTGTAAATATCTTTATAATTTTTAAACAATAAGTAAAAGTTGTTCATGTATCATGTAGAATGTAAAAAATGTAAACCTGTGTCTTAGTTTGTTTTGTACTGTTGTAACAGAGTACCTGAGAATGGGTCATTTATAATGAAAGGAAGTTTATTGGCTCACAGTTCTGGAAGCTGGGAAGTCCAGTATCAAGATGCCAGCATCGGGTGAGGGCCTTCTTGACAAGTCATCACATGGCAAGAGTGAGAGCAAAAGGGGGCCAAATTTGCCCTTTTATAACCAATCCCACCTGTGAGGGTGGAGCTCTGATGGCCTAATTACTTGTTAAAGATCCCACCTCTTAATATTGTTACAATGGCAATTAAATTTCTTCTTTTTTTTTAGATGGATTCTCACTCTGTAGCCCAAGCTGCAGTGCAGTGGTGCAATTGTGGCTCACTGCAACCTCCGCTTCTGTGACTCAAGCAATTCTTATGCCTCAGTCTCCTGAGTAGCTGGGACTACAGGCCTGTGCCACCATGCCCAGCTAGTCTTTTGTATTTTTTAGTAGAGACGAGGTTTCACCATCTTGCACAGAGAGGTCTCAAACTCCTCAGCTCAGGAGATCTGCCCGCCTTGGCCTCCCAAAGTGCTGGGATTACAGGCGTGAACCACCACACCTGGTGGCAATTAAATTTCAACATGAGTTTTGGAAGGGACAAAACTGTTGGGAAATAAACTAAAACCATTTGGGGTTTTAAAGTAATTTAAAATCAGTCATTAAAACCCCATAAAACTTTAGTAAGAATTTATCTTTTTGTATTTTTGAGTTTGTCTCTGTTCTAAAACTTACTGAAAATAAAAATTGACATTTGTAGTTTGAGTCATCTTGAAACATATTATTTTCCTTATGCATGAACTGATTTTGCTTACAGTAAGCCAGGAATAATGTTTTCATATTTCAGCCATTATTGGTCAATGTCTTCAAGTTATCTGGAACTGCATCTTAAAAAATTAAAATACAAATTTTAGGACAAGACTTATTACCAGAAAAGTGTTTATAATATCATTTGTATTTTTTATCAAATGGAGAAGACAGAAGGAATTTTACTATCCACTAAACTTTTGAAGAAAAACCACAAAGCACATTATTTTTAATGTGGGAAATGTTAAAAAATACTTAGCCTGTGCTGTACAGTATGGTAGCTGCTATTCATGTGTGGCAATTTAAGTAAAAATTAAAATGAAAATGTAGCTTCTTAATTGCACTAGCCATATTTCAAGTGCTCAGTAGTCACATATGACTAGTGGCTTCCATGTTAGTCCAGCTGTAGAACATTACTATCATCACAGAAAATTTTATTGAACAGCGCTTTGTCTATACCAGTCAGAATAGTTGCTCACCGTATGGACAGCTGTTTGTTCATTGACAGAGCATTTTATTTGATTCATATGAATTCAGTCTTAGTACATTGGGCATTGTTCTGTGAGGATAAATATTACCTTAGCAATAATTTTTTTTTTTTTTGAGACGGAGTCTCGCTCTGTCGCCCAGGCTGGAGTGCAGTGGCCGGATCTCAGCTCACTGCAAGCTCCACCTCCCGGGTTTACACCATTCTCCTGCCTCAGCCTCCCAAGTAGCTGGGACTACAGGCGCCCGCCACCTTGCCCGGCTAGTTTTTTGTACTTTTTAGTAGAGATGGGGTTTCACCGTGTTAGCCAGGATGGTCTCGATCTCCTGACCTCATGATCTGCCCGTCTCGGCCTCCCAAAGTGCTGGGATTACAGGCTTGAGCCACCGCGCCCGGCCTACCTTAGCAATAATTTCAAAAAGAAAAAACCTAAAATACTGCTTTCAGAAATAAGCCTGCCTTTGAAAATCAGAGAATATATTTAGAAGATTATATTGTTTTCCTTTGAGGATCAAGAAAGTTTTTTCCTGTAGGCTGCCAGTGATTAAGTTGCTTTGCTTTGGGAGTTAAAAAAACAAATATAGCCGGGCGCGGTGGCTCACACCTGTAATCCCAGCACTTTGGGAGGCCAAGGTGGGTGGATCACGAGGTTAGGAGTTCAAGATCATCCTGGCTAACACGGTGAAACCCTATCTCTACTAAGAATACAAAAAATTAGCGGGGCATGGTGGCACGTGCCTGTAGCTCCAGCTACTCGGGAGGCTGAGAAAGGAGAATCGCTTGAACCCGGGAGGCAGAGGTTGCAGTGAGCTGAGATCGCGCCACTGCACTCCAGCCTGGGCGACAGAGGGAGACTCTGTCTCAGAAAAAAAAAAAAAAAGACATTTTATTAAAAACTAGGCAGAAACATGGAAATAATGCTTTCTAAAACTTCTATTTTCCATATTTAATTTCTTAGGTAGTATGTAAATTTTAGAAAAACATCAGTATGGCCAGGCACGGTGGCTCACGCCTATAATTTTTTCCCACACTTTGGGAGGCCGAGGTGGGGAGTCCACGGAGGTCAGAGTATTCGAAGACATCCTGACTAAACACTGGTGGAAAACCCCCCGCTATCTACTAAAACTACAAAAAATTATGCTGGGGATGGTGGGCGCTGTAGTCCCAGCTACTCAGGTGACTGAGGCAGGAGAATGGCATGACCCGGGAGGTGGAGCTTGCAATGAGCCGAGATCATTGCCACTGCACTCTAGGCTGGGGGACAGAGCGAGACTCTTATCTCAAAAAAAAAAAAAAAAAGAAACATCAGTATGTTTTTTTTTTGTTGTTCTTTTTTTTTTTTTTTTGAGACAGTCTCACTCTGTCGCTGAGGCTGGAGTGCAGTGGCCGGAATCTCAGGCTCATTGCAAGCTCCGCCTCCCGGGTTTACGCCATTCTCCTGCCTCAGCCTCCCGAGTTATCAATATGTTATTAAAGAGAAGCTACACAGCTTTTGCAAGTCATGATTAACACAGTTGAGGTTCTTCCTTAGGTTCTGGCTTCACATTGTATGCTAAATAGAACATGCTAGAAGAGTGACTGTGTAACTTACCAAGATTTGGTAGTTTGATCTGAAGTTGGTGATTTTGGCATTTACTGTGTTTATGGACACTGTTATGATCAAGAAATTCTTTAGAGAACTGGACCAACTTTTAGATTCTGAGTCGTAAGAAAGTTATATTATTTTTAGTCCTTGAGAATAGAAAACTTCTGCTGTAGACAAGAAGCATTGTTAAGTATTAGGTAGCCTGATCATCTCCAATTTAAATAAGAATACTTGCTCACTATTTGTACTTTATTTAGAGACAGAGTCTTGCTCTGTCGCTCAGGCCGGAGTGCAATAGCACGATCCTGGCTCTGTGCAGCTTCCGCCTCCTGTGTTTAAGCGATTCTCATGCCTCAGTCTCCCAAGTAGTTGGGATTACAAGCATGTACCACCATGCCTAGCTAATTTTTGTATTTTTAGTAGAGATGGAGTTTCACCATGTTGGCCAGCCTGGTCTCAAACTCCTGGCCTCAGGTGGTCCGCCTGCTTGGGCCTCCCAAAGTGCTGGGATTACAGGTGTGAGCCATCGCCCCTGGCCTTATTTGTACTTTGAATTCCCTTACGCTTTCCTCATTCTGCTCTTGGTAATTGCTTTCCAGAAATGCTGTGTTGTTTCTAGGCCAGTAATTTCTTTCATCTAGTTATATTTGTTATGGGTTATTTTTTGTGTTAATTGTGTAAATATATATCAAGTTTTAGGTTTTTTTATAGTACTATTAAATCACCTTGATGTATGTTTTTAAAATAAAATAGCTAATAGTTTTAAAGGACATAAATTACTGTTCTACCTTTTCGTTACACAAAAGCAGCAATCTGAACATTTTTTGTAGTTATAGTAGCCTGTAATTTGATTTCGGACATATTTGTGTCCCCTTAACTTGCTCCCCCCACCTCCCAAATTATGTGGATCAAAAAACTAAATTATGTGGAACTGTGGAACTCATATGCTTAAAATGCAATAATATCCCTTGATATGGGTGTCATTTACAAGGATAATAAGACTTGATCCTTAAGCTGAGTAAATTAGTAATTATATACTGAATTTTAACATCTTAAACCTAGAAAAGTAAATCAGATGAGAATCCTAGAAAACTCTTAAATGAATTCTGTAACTCATATGAGATAATTTTGAAATTCTGTCCGTTTGGTGTTTTTTTTTGTTTTTGTTTTTTTTTTTTTTTTTTACATGTTAAAATATTTTTGTATGTTAAATTCCTTCAGTAAAGTTTCATCTTTATTTCTTTTTCATTTACAGATCACATTAGTAAAAAGACTGAGGTGAGTCTTATTGTAGCCATCTTGTAGAAAACACTGATGATTTTAAGAATAATACTTTTAATAATTAGCAGTAAGTCTTTTTTGAGACATAATCATTTAAAGAACAACCCGTAGGTTTGTCTTGAGTGAACCCAGTCATGTTTCTGCCATTATATAAAGATGTAAAATGCATTACTATAGAATAAAAACAAGATTATTTGCATGAAGCATAATATCATTTGGCTTTATCATCCTAATTTGTGTATATGTGTGTATGAGCCAAAGGTTACTTTGTGTGTGCCAAGCTTAAAATCTCAGAGAAAAGTGGTTTAATCTCCCACTTTGTATTTTAATCTTTATTAAAAACTTATCCTGAGAAGATGTCTCATAGTATTTTGGAATTACGGAAATTTGAAATGAACTGTAATTCTTTAAATGTACTCATGGGTAGACTAACCTGATTATATACTTCTCTTACCATCCACTGCTAGTGTCGCCTGCACTTCCTGGTGTTGGGGATTTGGGGTTTTTTGTTTCTGTTATTTAAATACTGTAGTACAGCCTCTCCAAATCTTTTAGTTGGGAGATTCTGCTATTTTAAAACTCCTCTAACATTGAGGAAGATACTAACAAAATGTTGAAATTATTTTTATCTTTTAAGGTAATAATTTCAAAGTTTTGTTCTTCTATTACATATGTGTTCTTATTAGTAATTCCGTTGTTTAATTTTTTTTTATGGTCAGATGGTCCTTGATTTCACTTATATATATGGCTTCTGACCATTTTTTTGTTTATTTCAGACATTTGCTTGACAGGCTAGGAAAATGAAATCTCTCTCTTAAAAAAATCACATCTAAATAATTCTGTGATTATATTATTAATTTAGTTCCTAACTACTATGCATGCAAACACAGAATTGATTTGTTGTTAAAACAGATGGTTGATTTTTTTTAAAGTTATTTGCAAACCATTGTCATCATTTCTTAGATTAAAATTTAAATGACTACATATATGGACTGAATATTAATTCCATGTTTGAAAGTGGCAAACATACTTTTGAACTGATTCCAATTTATTTTTGTCCATTGATTTATTTGGGGGATAGTGTTATACAAATAAGAAAGCAGGTATACATTGTGTAATGCATTATTCTACAATAGTGCAAGATAACTCTATAAACTGTTTGATGCTTGCCTTTTCTTCTTTCCTGATTTGAAAGAAGACAAAAAATGCAAACTGACAAGATCCTATTTAATTATTAAAGATGAGTTGTATTTAAACAAGCTTCTGTATGTAGAATAATATATTTTGTATTTCCTTATAATTTTAGAACTGTGTTCTGTCTTGTTAAATTACCTGATACATAACATTCATTTTGAAGATTTCTAATGATTAAGTTCCACATTTGTAAATACAGTCTAATTATAATTTATTTCCCTTACAACTAAATTAAGAAATTGGTTATAATAATACGTAATTCACATTACCTTTTTTTTTGTTTTTGTTTTTTAACTTTTAAGTTCAGGGGTACATGTGTAGATTTGTTACATAGGTAAACTTGTGTCACAGTGGTTTGTTATACAGATTATTTTGACACCCAGGTATTAAGTCTAGTACCCATTAGTTATTTTTCCTGATCCTCTCCCTCCTTCCACCCTTCATTCACCCTCTGGTAAGCCCCAGTGTGTCTTGTTCCCCTCTGTGTGTCCATGTGTTCTCATTATTTAGTTCCCACTTATAAGTGAGAACATGCAGTATTTGGTTTTTGTTTCTGCATTAGTTTGTTAAGGATAATGGTATCCAGCTCTATCCATGTCCCTGCAGAGGACACAATCTCATTCTTTTTTATGGCTGCATAGTATTCCATGGTGTATATGTACCACATTTTCTTTATCCAGTCTACCACTGATGGGCATTTAGGTTGATTCTTTGTCTGCTATTGTGAACAATGCTTCAGTGAACATACACGTGCATGTGTCTTTATAATAGAACCATTTATATTCCTCTGGGTGTATACCCAGTAATAGGATTGCTGGATCAAATGGTATTTCTGTTTTTGGTTCTTTGAGGAATCGCCACACTGCTTTCCACAATGGTTGAACTAATTTACACTCCCACCAACGGTGTATAGGCATTTCTTTCTCTGTAACACTGTCAGTATCTGTTATTTTTTGGCTTTTTAATAATAGCTATTCTGACTGGTGTACCTTTTGATACTTGTTAAAAGCATGCCAAAATTATGTTCCATTTCCATTAGAGGTATTACTTTCTGGGACTTAAATATTTAAATGTTACAATGGTTATACCATTGATCTAGGAATTTAGAAGATCTTTTTTTTCACAGAGAATCTAAAAAACCCTAAAGAAACTTTCATTTGAACTCTTAAATAAAATGTTATTTGCTCCTACAAATGTACTGGTTTTGTTAACATTGTATGCTGAATGATTGACTTAATTCATTCCATCTTTAATATATTACTTAGGCCAAGGGATTTTTTTTCATGGCTACTCTAAAGTTCTTAACATCTGTGGAGAATAATATTCTTCTTACCTACCTCCTCTTAAATCAGATATTTATTGGATAAAATTCAGGAGGGAAAAGATTTTATTTTATTGAGGGTTGATGAGGTGTACTTGAACTGCATATATATTCCTCTAACTGTTAACTAAACTTGTTCTCAGGTTAATTTCATTATTTCTTTTTTCTTCTGTCTAGAGTAGGTGCTTGTACATACCTCTTTATAAAATCTCAACAAATCATGCCTTTTCAGGAGTTTTATTTGATTCTTAGTCTTTTTCTGTTGGACTGAAGTTGTTTTGTTTTTTAATATGTTGCTTTTTAAATGCCAGAACTGTTAGGAAGAGAATCTCATAGATCCTCATTTCTCTCTAGTCCTACTTTTTTCTGGCCTTCCAAACTCTGGTCCTTCTAGTATAGTTTTAGTTTTAAAAATCGTAGTGACCATCATGTGTCTTGAAGTCTAAACGATCAAGTCTTCAATATGCTTGAATGCATTATCATTGGAAGAGTACCCGAGAAACTGTAACAGTGGTTGTCAAAGGCGATGGTGGGGTAGATATCAGACAGAGGGATACAAGAAATAGCCTGCTTTTTATAGTATAAGCTTCTGAATTTTCTGTCATGTCCGTGTACTGCTTATGTAAAAATTATATTAAAAATGAAAAAGACTGTGTGAAGAAAGGAACCAGGGGACAAACCCAGTCCTATCTGTCTCTACAACCTACTTCCTTCTTATAGCACTGTGCTTTAGCACTATGCTCCACATGTCTACCTTTAGCTGATTATGAGTGTGGACAAATAATTTATTCACTTTAGGCCCTAGTTATATTATGAAGAGTAATGTTGGATCTGTTGATTTCTAAAATTATGATAAATGATCAGAGTGCGATTGAAAATAAAGAATAAAGAAAAATACACCAAATAGTGAACCCTGTAGTTAATGCTACCAACACACAGGAGTGTGGCAGTAATAAAATTAGACTATTAATTTTTTTTTTTTCTTTTTGAGATGGAGTCTTGCTCCGTTGCTAAGCTGGAGTGCTCACTGCAACCTCTGTCTCCTGGGTTCAAGTGATTCTCGTGCCTCAGCCTCCTGAGTAGCTGGGTCTACAGGCGTGCACCACCATGCCTAGCTAATTTTTGTATTTTTAATAGAGTTGGCGTTTTACCATGTTGGCCAGGATGGTCTCCATCTCTTGACCTCGTGATCCACCTGCCTCAGTCTCCCAAAGTGTCAGGATTACAGGTGTGAGCCACTGCACCTGGCCTAAATTTTTAATTTTGTTTCTTGTTTTTTCTTTTTTAGACTGTTAAATTTTAAAAGCAAATAAATTTAATCTAGCTTTAAATAAATCTCACCTAGAATCTGGTTTTACCTAAAGATTCAACCTATTTTCTATTCTTCTCAGTGTATTGAGCTCATTCTTGTTACTAAGCCTTTCCTTGTTTGTATGTGTTACATTTGTTAGCTCTCTTTGGTTGTAAGCAACAGAAGGCCAACTCAATTCAGCATAAACAAAACAGAGACAGTTATTTGGTTCATATAACCACATCATGGAAGAATAGGGGGAGAGTTGACCTCATAGTTGACTGGATCCAAGCATTTAGACAGCTTTAGGACTCTCCATTTCACTCCCTACTCTCAGCTGCTATCTGTTCCTTCACTTCAAGCGAGATCACATGATTACTTGGGGATCTTGGGGTTATAGCTTTACAGAATTTCTTACAAACCGTTAATTAGCTGTTGAGATTTGACAAATTCATTTCTTTTTTTTTTTTTTCTTTTCTGTTTTTTTGTTTTGTTTTGTTTTTGAGACAGAGTCTCTCTCTGTTGTCCTGGCTGGAATGCAGTGGCGCGATCTTGGCTCACTGCAACCTCTGCCTCCTGGGTTCAAGCAATTCTTGTGCCTCAGCTTCCTGAGTAGCTGGGATTACAGGCGCCCACCACCACACCCAGTTAATTTTTTATTTTTAGTAGAGATGGGGTTTCGCTGGGTTGCCCACACTAGTCTGAAACTCCTGGCCTCAAGTGGTCTACCGGCCTTAGCCTCCCATAGTGTTGGGATTTTAGGAGTGAGCCACTATGCCTGACTCAAGTTGTTTTCTTTAAAAAAAGAATTTTTTTTCCTTTTTTTATCATCTGCCAAGGCTCTGTCATCCATCAAGTTGTTTTCTTGAGGAGTTGAGTCAAGGGGCAAGAGTATTTCCTAGATGGTGTGATATATTTCCTATCATATCACATCAGGGGCCATAGAATGTGAGGTTATTTTTGTGATGTTAAATTGATTACTGGTTCTAAAACCATTCTCCAGTAAAAGGAACCAGGACTCCTTGGAGAAATAGCTATATCTAGGGTGATGACAAGGAGTACACAAGATGAGCCCAGAGCCAGGCATGGTGGCTCTCGCCTGTAATGCCAGCTACTCCAGAGGCTGAGGTAAGAGGAATGTTCGAGGCCAGGAGATCCAGACCAGCCTAGGCAACATAGTGAGATCCCATC